TCTTTTAATTGCAATGTTTAGAATGCTTATAACCCAAATCTCTTTTAAAATAATTATCTTTATGTAAAAATAAATGTGGAGTTTATAACATATGTAAAGATAAAATATGAGGCCACAATAGCACAAAGGTGAGAAGAAAGAAAGATGTATACCACTGTAAGGATGTTTTTCTTCCTTTTTTTTTGGTGTATTAAAATTGTACATACTAGTGAGATTCATTATTACATATTCATATATGCTTACAATTTAACAATATAATTTGGACAATACCATTCCCCAATATTGCCCCTTCCCCTTCCCTTATTCCTCCCCCTGGTTCCTTTCCTTTACTATACTGATCTCCCTTCAAATTTCATTAGTCTCCCCATTCTTCTTTTCCTTTTTCCTCTCTAGCTTCCACATGACAGAAAACATATGATTCTTGATCTTCTGAGTTTGGCTTATTTTAGCATAATGTTCTCAAGTTCCATCCATTTTCCTGCAAGTTACATAATTACATTCTTCTTTATGGCTGAATAAAACTCCTTATGTATACATATCACACTTTATTTATTCATTCATCCACTGATGGACAACTAGGCTTGTTCCATATAGTATACAGAACTATACAGTATACAGAACTATACTGTAAGGATCTTGTAGGTCAAGTAGTATACCACTTGAAGATAAACTGAAAGTTAAAGATGTATAAAGGGCTGGGGATGTGGCTCAAGCRGTAGCGCGCTCACCTGGCATGCGTGCAGCCTGGGTTCGATCCTCAGCACCACATACAAACAAAGATGCTGTGTCGGCTGAAAACTAAAAAATAAATATTAAAAAAAATTTTAAAAAAATAAAGATGTATACAATAACCTTAAGTCAATTACTAAAATAACAAAGTGATGAACAAACAGCTAATCAGGTAACAGGTAGCAGAATAATAAAAAGTAATCCAAAAGGGGGAGGAGGAAGAGGAGGAGGAGGAGGAGGAGGAGAAGAAAGAAGGAGGAGGAGGAGGAGAGGGGA